CGCAAGAGTAATGCTTAATAGAGATGCTGTTTCAACTTGTGGGAGGTAAAACTTCACTATCCTCCTCTCTTTCCTTTTAACACTTTCTGAAGCTTCTATTAGTCCTTGAATTCCCTTGAATATAAGGAAAGATACTAGCCCAACAGCGGCAACCATGTGAACGACAAACAGAAACAGAGATATTTTGTTGGTGTATCTTCTTGAATTCAATGTTGTTTGTGATGGCTGGTCACAAAGCGGGAAACCCAAAAATATTTCAGATCAATAACTTCAACAATCAGCAAAAGTTCTATTTCTTGCTAGAGAGAGGGGGGGAACAGGGAGGGCGCATATAACTACTTTCTTGTTAAATTTATATAACTGACTTGAAAAACAATAAAGAATTTATGAAGCCCTTTCTATATCCTATAAACATACTAATAAAGTTCAAATTAATTGCTTTAAAAAAACAGTTTGACTAACACAGACCAAAACTTAGAAAAATATCTGGTAAAAAAATGTTAAAGATTTCTTCATAATCAACCGAGTTTAGTAATCACTGCTAAATTCAGAAAGCAAAAACCTTCAAAAAACTAAAAATCAAAACTTCAAAACAAAAAAGAAAAAAAAGAAAAAGGAGCTGAAGCTAAACATGAGTAGTAACTGTGAAGAGCAAGAAATTAACTTACTTGTGGGATTGGTGCAGAACGAGGCAGCGGAGTCTGAGAAGGAGAAGGAGAAATGTTCAAGATTTATTCATAATAACCCGAGTTTCGTAATCACCGATAAATTCAGAAAGCAAAAACCTTCATAAAACTAAAAATCAAAACTTTAAAACAAAAAAAGACAGAAAGAAAAAGGAGCTGAAGCTATCTTGTACACGAGTAGTAACTATGAAGAGCAAGAAATTAACTTACTTGGGGGATTGGTGCAGAACGAGGCAGGGCAGTCTGAGAAGGAGAAGGAGTGGGCATTCTGGAGGAACCACCGATGACAATCCTCAAAGGGGTTGTTGGGTTCAACCTTTGCATCATTGCCGCATGAGAACCTCCAAACTGGTTATTTAGATTATTATTTACATCGAAGTTACTGCTGTCTATTACCTTTTCTTGGACACCCAACACTTCTCCTTTCTCCACATCTCCCCCCTCTTCTTTCCTCTCATTCCCCTCCTCCTCCTTCCCCTCCTCCTCTCTCCTCTCACTCTCTCTCTCTACCACCTAAGAAGAATAAAAATCCTGAAACCGTGAGCAACTCAAACAAGACACCAACCAAGTAAAAATTTATAAAGAAAAATCAAAACGTGAGGTAATAGAAAGTAATTGCGGTATCCTGTCTTACAGGTTCTGCAGCGCCCATAATGGTGGTGGTGGTGACGTAAGCTTCCCGGTGGCGGCTGCTATGGTGTGGTGATGTATGTATGCATAAAATATGTTGATGGATATATTGTGCTGATCATGGCTGTCGTTTTTGGGTAGGTGATATATGGTGGCGATGCTGCTATGTCTTTTTCATTTTCCTTTTTTTTTCCCCCCTGTAATTTTGAGGACATACTTCTATTATATTGCCGCATAATCTCAGAATATTGATGACCAAGCACACGTAAATCAACTGACACGAGGCTGTTATAGTTCGATAAGAGAGCGTTGTCATCTTTATAGTTCTGCTCAGCTCGAATCTAGATTATTCCAAGCTACTTCAGTATAATTACCGGGTACCAGAGGGTCAAATAGTCTACGAATATTGCAGAAACAACACGTGCCTTTTATGTGGTGTAATACACGCACCAATGAGAGGGGAACTGCTTAATAGTTATTGGTGTGTCATGAATCCATAGGGCACGTGTACTGAGGTTTTTACTGCGTACATACATCGTAGGTTATGGATGCGGGGTTTGGAAATGTGATCAACGGCTTGGATTTCTTTGTGATGGCAGTGTTGATGATGAGAGCGAAGAACGGTGGATGTTGACTTCCGAGAAGGAGAAGGAGAGGCATAATCCAAGCAGATACTGTTATGTAGTGTGTACCTCGTCGTGTTGTGTAATAATAATACACTAATAAGTTAGCTTCTTCTTCTCTCTCTCTCTCTCTCTGCTTTTAAATTAATTGTGCTGTTCGGTACTATTATTTTTTTGGCTACATGAGCTTCGCTTGTAGCTAATAAATTAATGAAAAAAACTCAAGGATGGGTACAATACTTAGATATCTTTTGAATTTTATTTCGGATAAAATAGACGATGGAAACGTTAAAGATAAGGTAAAAAAACAAATACAGATAAGATTATATTTGATTGTGATGTATAAGATAAAATGATTGTTAATATATATTATGTTTGGTTATGATTGATAAGATATAATTAATAATATTTAAAAATATAAAAAGTTTATTTTACTCTTATATATTATTATCAAATTTTTATATTTTAAAAATAATTAGATATTAATTTTTACTTTAATTTATATTAAGTGTTGAAATTAAAAATATTATAATAACTCTAGTTACAAAACTAGGATTGGCTTAACGAGTTAACCTGTTTCAAGTCAAACCTGAGATTTAATTTGATTCGAGTTTAAAAATACAGATGAAGGATTTTCTCTTCTATAATTGAAACAACAATAACACCCAATTGAGTGAATTAAGTCACCCAATTGAGTGAATTAAGTGTGACATTAATATTAACAAATAATATAAATTAACTCAATTAAACAAATAAGCTAGGGAAAGGATTTGCTAGCTTGACTTTTAGCATGGTTCGGCAAGCCTATATTCACATTTCAAGTACCAAACTTGTATTGAATATTGTATTCTCTTATTAGTCTAAGTTCAAGAGTAAAATTACCATTTGATAAATCCATATTAATAAATTTATGCCACTTAAAGATATTTTTCTTTAAAGATCTTTCTCTCACATAAAAACATGCTTTCTTCAGGAAAAAAATTATTAATGAAAATACCTTACCAATGCCAATATTGTTTACCTAACTTTTAAAGATTTATAAGAGTAATTTTGTTTTTGCAATTAACTTTTTTATATATAGTGTATAATACAATTAAAAGTTCTAATATTGTTGCATCTCATAGAATAACACTTAAAAGATTTGAAGGTGTTTGAGTATAGTGAGTACAAGATTAAATTCTCTTATGCTGAAATATGAAGTTTTTAATTACATCAATTAAAGTATAATTAAATATTGATGATTATTATGTGTTTTTGCTCTTGAATTAGCTCGTATATCATATAGGTTCGGATCATCTTCTTAATTTTACAATCATGTAATATATATATATATATATATATATATATATATTTTGTTGTGTTTTTTTTTTCTAGCATAAATTAAATGTTTATAGCTATTACAATTTTAGTGGCGACTAAAACAATTAACTGATTCAAACTAGTGAAGTAAATTAGTCGATTGATTTTGGCAGAACTTTTAAGTGCTTGTCACAGGAAAACAATCGGCTGATTGGTTAATGCATAATTTCATATCTATTAGTTGGTTAATGCATAATTTCATATCTATTAGTTTCAACTTAGATGAATTTATAGAACTATCTATGTCTTTTTATTGATTATTATAAATATATTCATGATGAAGTGAGTGGATTAATTTTAATATTATGCTACTAAGATAAGATATAAGATTTACATAAAACACTAAAATAAATGTTTATTTCCCCAATCTTCAACATGATTTCTTCTTGATTTTCTTCCTAATTGTTTTTTCAAGAAATCCTTCATACTTGTTGATATGGTGTTTATATAGATATTTTAAAATTTAATTTCAACCAAGTATATTATTTGTCATTTTTTCTTCTTATTGTCATCATCAACACACACACACACACACATATATATTTGTGTGTGAGAGAGAGATTTAAAGATTAACAATATTGACTCAATCTAATCCAGTTAAAAACTTCGGTTAATAGGATAAAACATAAGTTAAAATCTTGTTGATTTTTTTATAAAAAAAATATGGTCAAAAGAAAGTTTTTTTTTTTTTAATATCAGGTCAGCTGAATTGACTCTCCCAATCAAGCCTTGAATTAATTTTCAAGTTGAGTTTTAAAATATAATAAATATTATTTATTGAAACTTGTTTTTTATACCTTTTATTTTAAAAATATAAAAATTTATTTTAAATTTATTTTTTTACATCCCTATTTCTTTAATCATCAGACTTGAATGAGCCAAAAAAAATTTCTTTTAACAAAAACTGTTTTTTTTAATTGTATAAAAAAAGTATCAAAAGGAAGGTTGTTGATGGTATCATTGTAATAAAAAAATTTAAAGTGTTTTTTATTAAACTACATGCATGCATGCATGCATACATATATATATATATATATATATATATATAAATTTTATGTTGGATATTAATATATATAAAAAAAATATAAAAAGATTTCCAAGAATTTGAAAGACATGGTCAAAATTATTTCGTGGCGCCATAGCATAGAGCCCAAATCCCCGACGTAGGTGCGTGACGGGTCAGGAAGACATGGGATGGGATCACGTTTTATTCCATTTAGACAACCTCGGCCACTATCTGGCCATTCAAAACGAGTCACGTGCCAGAAAGCTCATGCTGGTAAAGGGTAACCAATACCTGTCTGACACTTTTCGAAGCCAGTCAATTAATCAGACAAACTTGTGGGCGATCTGGGTGGTTAATGCCTGTGGGTCTGATTGAATAAGCATGAGAATCGAGATAGCATGGGGATGACGAGGATCCACCTCAATTCTGTCTCGTCTCTCTCAAAACAGTTGCGGTGGAAAATGGTGGGACAGCAACAATTGACAAGCCCAGCCGCCCCACGGGGTGTTCAACATTACAGTTAGAACACTTTGTTCAAAATTAATATATACTGGGAAAACACTCGATTACACAAGATGGTATTATTCTCCCTCGGCTCCCCTCGCCTTGAAGATTGACGACCGTTGATTCTTTGAATGGAAATTCGTTACCTCTCATTTGGAACGGAAAATAGCCATTTCAAGTTTCAACCAAAGGTTAAAGAGGATAAAAACTTGATTACTATTTCTATTATCAATACAGCAGACTAAATCAATACTTCATAGCCATAGCAGCAGTCTCCTATGTCCGCACCAGAGTACCAAAACTTGTATGGATAGGGGCTACAAGGGAATATGGTTTACATTCAACTAATCAACCATTTATATCCAAGTCGGGCAAAACTCCCATATCCAATCTAATATACTGTCAAAACTGATTGAGAGAGCTGACAACTTAAAGAAAAGGACAACGAAGAATTTGACCTCCTCCCAACTAAACATGAAAAAGGCACAAAGCAAAGCATAGATTTTGCAGCATCAAGTTTCTTTCTTTGCAGCTCTTGCTGGTTCTGGTGGTGGTTTGACAATGCTTAGTTGACCACCTTCCTTGTTTGCAGCAGTAGCTGCTTTGATCTCGTTACAGTTGTTGATGAACTTGCTTAGCTCCTGGCCCACATCAAAGATAACATAGATCAGCAATCACTGAACCAGACGAAGATTTAAAAGGTCACCATGCACACAATAGACCACACATACAATTACACAATACAACAACAGCAATAGTTGTGATGCCAGTCACCAGAAAATAATATAAAGGCTAACTTCAGCTTACTAAACGTGCTACAACTTTTGGGTGATCTTATACGATCCAAGCTCATGTGAGAATTAACTGAAGTTGAGTGAACTGCTATCTCACCTTAGAGACCAGAAGGGCAATATATAACTACAATCCTGATCTTTCAGAGTATAATTCTACCCCAAGATCCATGAAAAATCACCTGATTGAATAATTTGAATTCCTTTTGTTGTATAAAGAAAGATTTACTCATAAAAACAGTCAATGTACCAGTATAGACAATCAAAATCCAGGCATCACCCTTTCCCCAACTGATAAAACAGAATGGAAGGACTCTCTAGATGAACAAAGATAATCTGAGCAAAGCACCGAGAAAGATCACAGAACAGGTTTTGAAAAAATAATTCCCAAAAAGCAAGCTACAGCAATAGGTATGGTAGTATTTTTACAACTTCGATTCTTCATGAAAGTCTTCAGCAATTCTTGCACATGCTCGTTAAAAAAAAAGAAGAAGAAGATAAAAGGAATAAAAGATGAAGAAGGAGCACGGGACTGGCTTGGATTCTATAAGAGCAGTTGCACAGTATAATCTCCACGTATGGGACAATAATCATCCCTCACATCTCCAAATTAATCAAATTCTGCAGCTGGAAAAAACTATATAAAAAAAAAGCAGAAGACAAAAACACAGAAAATTTCTCCAGAATTGCATAAAGTGACTAGCTGAACCAGCCACCAAAGCTAACAAAACTGGACCAGTTATAGCGTCAGCTCATACTCAGCTCCCACTATAATAAGAGAGCTGGTAATCAGTAATAGACGCCTAATTATCACCCAAAGAACAAAAGCTTATCCGGGTTTTAAACTCTCATATAAATCAAAGTGCATTTTAAAGAAGCTGTGAATACAAAACAAATCTGTAGTGCATGCTTCACTCTTACAAAGGTACACTAGTTTTCAAATCAATAAATATAGTAATCTATCAGTAAGGAAATACAAATTTTCCAATGCAAGTCAGAGCATCTGCTAATTGACTTTTAACAATATCATGAAGCAGTAACAGTTTACAAAATTGAGCAATCATACCCTATCAGCATCCATCTCTTTCGTGAAATTTGATGGCTTCACAAATCTCTTCCCTGCAATCAAAATTTAGAGATTCCTTTATTTAATTTTCTTGAAACTAATAAATAAAATACACAGTTTTAGAGATTGCAAGGAAGCAAACAATCTGACCTTTGCGGATGTGAGTGATTTTTCCATGGCGATTAGGTGGGACTGTTTTCTTCTTCTGTTGGCCTTTGAATAGATTGTTTTTTTGTGTCATCGCAGATGTTACGGTTTTTCACTTTCTGCTGCTGCTTCTTCTTCTATGGCTTTTTAGGGTTTTAGTGCACGGCCTCATTTCGGTGACTGCTTGATCGATAAAATAATTTGTTCCAAAACCGACATGTCATTGTTGCTAACGACGCGTAGTTTAATCGCTGATTTTTTTTTTTTTGGAGGGGGGTTTATTTAGCGAAAAATTCTATGCTTTCAAGCATGGAGGTGGGGTTTGAAATTACTGTTGATCTATTTTTTAAAAAAAATTAATTTATTTTCAGTTTTAAATTAAAAAATTTCATCGTGCTGATATTAAAAATATATTTTTTAAAAAATAAAAAATATTATTTTAATATATTTTTAAATAAAAATACTTTAAAATCAACATTTATAATACTCCCAAATATGCATTATAAATACTACAGTTATAATATAAAATATAAATAAATGCAGTAAAAATAGAAATAATAAAGAGAAGTTTTTTTTCTCCAATTTTTTGTCTTTTCTGTTTATTTCCTTCTATTTATAATATAAATATTAATAGTTAGAGCAGTATAAAATTTTCTTGTAGCGAAGGGTTCTTCTCTTTAATTGAGTTGGCTTGATTCGAACCAGTTTTGATGGATTTTATAATAAGGTTAGTCAAGCATCTACTAAGTAATATGACAATTTCTTACATTCCATCATATGTATATGTATTGAAAGATACTCAGCGTCTGTATTATACTAAGATTAGAACTTAAATTTAAAATAATCCCAGGAAAGGATATTTATAGTAAAAAGTAGATGATGAAAGAGGTCGTAGATTGAACAAGCTTCCTCTTTTACCACGTAAGCTAAGCCATGGAGGATGATTTCCTTCTTCTTTTCCCTCGTGTTCCAGATATAATCAATAATTGCAACGAAGGCTTTATCCTCTCTCTCTCTCTCTCTTCTCTTCTCTTCTATCTGCAGCTGAGGCTCACTCTGTGTGTCCCTCTTGCGGTGTTCGTCTGAGGCTCTAGCCCTCTCTTCTTACTCAGCTCTTCCTCCTCTCTTCTTAATGGTCCTCCTTTGTTATATTAAAATTGATTCAATTCTATATCGTAATCAACCAGTTCCACACGGCATGCGAGCGACCAACACTAGAAAAAATGAAGGGCTCGAGAATCTATTTCACATGCTTGGTAAAGCCATTTATGGGCCTGAGTAGGTTTTACCCAAGGCTATCAAATTGTCTAGCAAAACCAAATTTTACAGCAAGAAATTCATCAGACATGTCCATCGCATTAAAAATGGAGCATTTCATCTCGGCTAGGCTACAGGGGTATGGCATCATGCATTCTTATCATACCGATCAATCTCATGCAAGCTCATTACGACTAGTCAACAGGTCTGAAATAGGATTCAGCTAAGAAACCTTCATCCAACTTAACACAAAAACAAGAGATTTATCTTTATGCGAGGTGAAAAATGCCAAATTAAACCAGAACCACCTGAATATTCTACTCAAAATTCAAATGACAGGTCTACCTTCAAGTTAAATTTCTTATCTCATCAAAAGTTACACGTCCAACTTCAAACAAAATAAGGTGAAAATAGACGCCTGATCTGAAAAGAAAATTCAAATGACAAAACTCTAGGCAGCTCCCTTGCCCTTCTTCCTTTGTATTTTCTTCATGTAAAACTCCAGTTCTTTGCCCTCCAAGATATATCTGCAACCATAGGAAAGCAATGAAACTTACTAACATTCTTTGGCAATGCCTTAATCTAGACCACAACTAAGAACATGCATAAACAGGGGGAGAAGTAACATACCCATCAGCTCGCCCACACTGACCAGGACGTGATGAAATAGAAGCTAGCAAACGACCACTGCCAAATTGCTCTTCAATATGAGGGTCAAGCTTGCGAGTCTGTTGTCTCTTCTCCAGCTTCCTCTGGACATGATTGCTCTGCTTCACCTCCTCAGTGGCAGCAGCTTCACCTTCCTATAAATCAATATAGAAGTTTATGGACAATTTCAAAGTGAAATTACCAACAAAACATGCCAGTGAGATAAACCATGCTCGCACACTAAAAAGGCTAAAATAATCTGATGAGTTTTCCAATTGTGACAAAAGAAATTTACAAAGCAATTAAAATATCCATAAATGGGTGGCCTGCAAAAACATTTAAAGCACCATTACCTCTTCATATTGCTGAATGTAGCCTAATTATGACCCCACATTTACATATGGATATAGTACTAAAAAATCTAGCTATGTGACACATTCTCATGAAATTAAGCAAAAAAACTTGATAAATTGCAAAGCCAATAAAAATCTCACATGACCTAGCAAATAGAAACAGAAAACTCGGTTGTATTTTTCTGACAGAAAGAAGATTAAATAACTGAAAAAAAAACACATCAGCATGGAAAAACTAGCAATGGGTTAAATCTATTAAAAACTATATTCTAGTTTTCCCACTTGCATAGATAAATCAATGGAAAAAAAATCAGTTACCTAAGCCCACATCAGTAGTAATACAAGCATCACTTTCACACAATGAATAAAAAAAATTAAAACAAATGCTATATGTAAAGATCCTACCTCTCCTTCCTTCTTGGAAGCTGCTGTGGTTTTCTTCTTGCGACCAATGTCCACACCATAGTGCTGGAGATACCACTGCTTGAAAGGTGCAGCATCAACCTGAACGATGGCACTCTTCACCAAAGTCTGAGTACGAACCAACTCATTGTTGGATGCATTGTACACCACATCAAGAATCCTGGTCTTTCGGGTCACAGCCTCACTACCCCATGAGTAGTTTCCAGTATCAAGTCTTAAAGCACGCCACTTCACATTTCCGCCTCGAACCCTAATCCTCCTCACTGTCTTGTTGCTAGACAGCTTAGTGTTAGCAGGTTGCCTTCCGAGCTCGTACCTTAAAAGAGGGAAAACACACGAACATAATTAGGTACACAAGAAAACATAAAGTAATCAGTCACAGTCCAAATTCAGATATTAAATCGAAAACAGGAATGCTTTGGACATACCAAAAGGATACAATCGTAGGTGTTAAAGTTTAAAGGAAAACTCAATCAGAGCACAGAATAAAATCCATATTGATTGATCTCCAAAGAAACGACAGCTTTTTATTGAAGGAGAAGAAGAAAGTAGTTCCTTTATAAAGAGTAATAGCAAGAGAGGATCCAGCAATTCTCTCTTAAGTTGTCGACCTTCCTTAAATGATTTTGACCAGATTGAAGGAAATAAGTCCTTCATATATGAAATCAGACGTACAAGGGAGCAAATGAAACAAGGAATAATCACCAATAAGTGACTAGTTAAGCTAAATCAAGTACTAGAGCTTAAGAACAGTGGCTGGTCTGAACCCAGACAAAGTCATGAAACCAGGACCTCAAGGAAAAAATTTTCAAACTGTGTGTCTAGATTCAAGAAAAGCAAATATTTTTCACAGATCAGAAAGGAAAACACGTAGAGAAGTGCGGTTTTTCTGATAAAATAAATAAAAAATAATGTTAAAGAACGTCTTACTTTCTCTTCTTTCTCCAAGCTTTCTTCTTGCCTCCGGTGGCCCTCCTCTTGTGCATAGAATCACGAGAAATCCCTAATCAAAACATAAATTTTTTTGAATTATTAGCATCTCCAGAACTGACGACAGAGACAGAGAGATCAAGACAGTAGAAACATTTGACAAAGATTGCTTACCCATCTTTGCAGAGGCAAGATGCTAAGGTTTCTCTGCTGAAAGCTGCTTAGGGTTTGAGACAACTGGGAGGGGACTGATGCTTTGCGCCTGTATTTATAGTATAAAACCCTAGACCATTTAAATTACTACCTTGCCCTCCGAGTTCTCGAGCACAATAGTTTTAAGTTTGAGCGTTGAGTAAACGGCGACGTTCCGTGTTGTTTAGGTGTTAATTGCATTTTAATATAAAAATGATTTACTTTTAAGTTCCTTCTCATGTTTCAGTAAAAGAAAATCAATTAAATTAAAATATACCATGATGTTTTACACAAGTAAATTATTTTATTGTAAATTAAAAATTAAAGAAATAGATTCATAACAATCAGAACATATAACTTTGAAGTAATTTATTTTTAGTGATCACGAAAGAAAATTTCATTAAATTAAATTAAATTAAAATTCACATTATAATCAACAATCAAGTTTCTCTAAATGGTGGCGTGGCTTAATCGTTTATGAGCGGTACTGTTAGTGATTTTTTTATATTATATTATTGGATTTGTTTGTATAATAAATATATCTTCATAGGAGCTTTAGTTTGTTCTCAATGTCTTGTTTGTTTGTTTTTTTTTTAATCTTTCTCTTCTTAGTTTGCATGTTAAATATATATCTAAAATTTTAATTAATAGTTAATCAAAATTCATATATATATATTAAAATAAAAAATGATTCTTACTTGTTAAAATATTTTAAAATAATAATAATTTTTATTATTAATAAAAATAAATTATTTATCTTTAAAACTTTGTTATTCATTATATGTGCATTATATGTGCTTGTAGAATATTTACACTTACTAAGATTTCAATACCAACTCTATTAAGTTTTTGAAACAAATATTTAAGATTTCAATACCAACTCTATTAAGTTTTTAAAACAAATATTTATGTAATTCTGATATTTTTTAATAAGATAAATATAACCTTTAAAATCAAGAAAAAAATCAGAGCGAAACAAAAACACTAAAAATAAACTGAAAAATAACATGAAAAATCTGAAAAATATAATTATCAAACTCTTCCTTTAATTTTTTTTATAATGAATTTTGTAATTCAGTAGATTAAAAAAATAACAAAAATTAATTTTTATTAACATTGAATATTTTATTCAAAAAAAGAAGGAAAGTTCCACTGATGGGAGACGTTAGACAAGAGGCGTGAAAATAACAGACGCTGCTGACAGCCTTGCAACATCGGCCATCCAACTCCTCGGAAAAGTGTTCTCTGCTCCTTTCGAGCTCCGCTGCAGTCTGAACAGTAAACAAAATTGAGAAAGATTATCCATGAACAACACAGACCTCACTGTCTGCAGAACACCTAACAATACTTTACAAATGGAGCTTCAATGCCATTTT